TATATGTTACCTTGATGAAAGACAAACGAACTAGGCCCTATATGTTACCTTGATGAGACAAATTAACTATGCCCTACATGTTACCTTGATGAAAGACAAACGAACTAGGTCCTACATGTTGCCTTGATGAAAGACAAACGAACTAGGTCCTACATGTTACCTTGATGAAAGACAAACGAACTAGGTCCTACATGTTACCTTGATGAAAGACAAACGAACTAGGTCCTACATGTTACCTTGATGAAAGACAAACGAACTAGGTCCTACACGTTACCTTGATGAAAGACAAACGAACTAGGTCCTACATGTTACCTTGATGAAAGACAAACGAACTAGGTCATATGTTACCTTGATGAAAGACAAACGAACTAGGTCATATGTTACCTTGATGAAAGACAAACGAACTAGGTCCTACATGTTACCTTGATGAAAGACAAACGAACTAGGTCATATGTTACCTTGATGAAAGACAAACGAACTAGGTCCTACATGTTACCTTGATGAAAGACAAAGGATCTAGGTCCCATATACCTGTCCCTATACACTACCTTGATGAAAGACAAACGAACTAGGCCCTAAATGTTACCTTGATGAAAGACAAACGAACTAGGTCCTACATGTTGCCTTGATGAAAGACAAACGAACTAGGCCCTATATGTTACCTTGATGAGAGACAAACGAACTAAGTCCTACATGTGTCCTTGATGAAAGACAAACGAACTAGGTCCTACATGTTACCTTGATGAAAGACAAACGAACTAGGCCCTAAATGTTACCTTGATGAAAGACAAACGAACTAGGCCCTAAATGTTACCTTGATGAAAGACAAACGAACTAGGTCCTACATGTTACCTTGATGAAAGACAAACGAACTAGATCCTATACACTACCTTGATGAAAGACAAACGAACTAGGTCATATGTTACCTTGATGAAAGACAAACGAACTAAGTCCTACATGTGTCCTTGATGAAAGACAAACGAACTAGGTCCTACATGTTACCTTGATGAAAGACAAACGAACTAGGCCCTAAATGTTACCTTGATGAAATACAAACGAACTAGGTCCTACATGTTACCTTGATGAAAGACAAACGAACTATGTCCTATATGTTACCTTGATGAAAGACAAACGAACTAGGCCCTAAATGTTACCTTGATGAAAGACAAACGAACTAGGCCCTAAATGTTACCTTGATGAAAGACAAACGAACTAGGTCCTACATGTTACCTTGATGAAAGACAAACGAACTAGATCCTATACACTACCTTGATGAAAGACAAACGAACTAGGTCATATGTTAACTTGATGAAAGACAAACGAACTAAGTCATACATGTGTCCTTGATGAAAGACAAACGAACTAGGTCCTACATGTTACCTTGATGAAAGACAAACGAACTAGGCCCTAAATGTTACCTTGATGAAAGACAAACGAACTAGGTCCTACATGTTACCTTGATGAAAGACAAACGAACTAGGTCCCACATGTTACCTTAATGAAAGACAAACGAACTAGGCCCTATATGTTACCTTGATAAAAGACAAACGAACTAGGTCCTACATGTTACCTTGATGAAAGACAAACGAACTAGGTCATATGTTACCTTGATGAAACACAAACGAACTAGGTCATATGTTACCTTGATGAAAGACAAACGAACTAGGTCATATGTTACCTTGATAAAAGACAAACGAACTAGGCCCGTTGACCAAACCATAGTGGACCTTCTCGGCGTTGATGAGATCGTTGTTCGGAGCTAAAGTTCCCATCAGAGCTGGAGGGGAGGGGAGGCTGGGAGAGGTAAGAAGGTATTTACAGTTTATGTCTAGAGATTCGGAAACATTAATAAATCAATTAGCAATTAATTCAATCTCAGATTAAAAGATTAAATTACTTTGATATAAACTGTCTGCAATTAAGGGATATAGTGGTTGAATGGTAGAACGTTCGGCTACTAGCCTCATGGTCTCAAGTTCGGATCTCGCTCAGCCTTTATGAGTTCCCAACTCACGTTAAAGCAAGTAATCTGCGGCTGCGTATAGTGCTGACCACACCATCCCCTTCATATTTTGAGATCAAGAAACATATGAACTCTACTTCATCTGTTCTGTGGATCTTTAGTTCTAAAAATACGAGCTTTATTTTACTGTTTTTGCTTTCAATACATTCATGCTGATATTTTTTGTGTGCTAAAAAGCGTACGCTATCATATGAGCCAGCGTCTAAGCGTCAAAAGCCGTCAGTCAACATGATCTAGGCAACACTGACCAACACAACCAACACAACCAACACAACCAACACTGACCAACACTGACCAACACAACCATCACTGACCAACACTGACCAGCACTACCAACACGACAGTAGAGCTTACGTGTAACTGATGGCGTTGATGCTCCGGCCCTGGGCTGATATGGCACCACCCAGTAGGCCCCCCACTAGACTTCCTAGCTCGGTCCCACCTCCAACTGCCTGACCTACGTGTGAACAAAGATATATATATATATATATATATATATATATATATATATATATATATATATATATATATATATATATATATATATATATATATATATATATATATACATGTATATGTATATATGTAAACACATTTATGTATAAATACTTATACGTAAGTGCGTCGGTTGTCGTTGCGTGTGTATGTGCGCGTTAGTTGACTCGACTTGCTAATTATCGACTAGCTTGAAAGTGCACCGATTGAAAACCAGCTAGACACTGGTTCACTGCATGAACCCAAGTCTTGCTACTTAACTTTAATGACATTTTGTAAAATGTTAAATATTCTTATGTTTTCAAACCAGAATGTCTGACCAAGATGGGGTCCAGTTTACATGTCCATCTTACCTTGACCCCTGATAGCCTGCACCAGAAGGACCAACACAACACTAATGGCTCTCATGGTGACGTAGGTGTTACAGTTTCCAGAATTCCTGACTTTGAATTCTGAATCTCAGCTAGAAACAAACTTTTGTAGAGTAGGACAGTGTTGGCGTAAAATACAACTAGAACAAAGGATGAAAATATCTGATATCTGTGTTCTCTCTCTAATGTTTTCTCTCTTCTGTTCCCTCGTCTGTTCTTTCTGTTATGTTGGTCCTGTTGCGTCCTGCTTGTTGCTATTTATCTGGTGCTCAGCGTTAACTGCTGAAGAGAAACAAAAAAATGTTTTGAACTATGCTAAACTGATCACAAGTGCATCATTTATCTAGAAATAAAATTGTACAGGTACGACTAGAAAATAGCAAGGGTCTATTATTACACTGAACATGATCAAGGAAAAAGACAACAGGCCTTTTTAAACTACGACACAAGGAAGCTAGCAGACATAACCTTACTGCACTAGGCGATGACGCTGGGTTTTTGTAAGAACATTGCTCTAGACAGTCTAGTGCAGGCGCACCTTGCACACGGCACTACACCAGGGAGGAGAAACTATCCGTCTACGAGATTAAAAAAAGAAACACGGACATAAAAAAAACTGAAACATCCTACTCTGTCCTTGTAGGAGCAACTGACACATAAATAAAGAGTAACAAAGTGTGTGATTTACGGGTGGGATTCAGCAGCCACAGCAGGTAATGTAGAAGTGGTAAGAAAATTCACACGGAGGAAAAATGTCAAATCTTCTACAGAGACTCAGAAACCAGTGGCATTAAACCAGCTCAATAAAATAATATCACGTCAATATCAACTCAACATAGTAATATCACGTCAATATCAACTCAACAAAATAATATCACGTCAATATCATTTCAACAAATAATATCGCACTAATACCAACTCATCAAATAATATCACACCAATATCAACTAAACAAAATAATATCACGTCAATATTAACTCAACATAATAATACCAAATCGCTACGAACTCAATAAATTGTACCAAATCGCTATCAGCTCAATAAAATAATATCACACCAATATCAACTCAACAAATAGCATCAAATCAATATCAACTCAATATAATATAATATCAAATCAATAACACTAAACAAAAAGTTACTAAACACCGCGACTTTATAATATCACACGCACTGAATTTCTCGCGAGTTTTCCTACCACTTCAACGTTTGATCAAGTCCAAAAAAATCTCTGGCCTCCGTCAAAAAATCTCTGGCCTCCGTCAAAAAGTTTCCGCTGGCAGTGATGACTTGACCAGGGGAGACAAGACAGGTAACACTTCACCTGTGTCGGGCGGCCTGGTCCGTCTGTCAGCTAAACCATCAAGCCTTCATGCAGGTAGTCTGGGGACTGGATTATAACCCCCGTCCCCTCCTCCTCCTTCGTCATGATATATCTTTTATTTAAACCAGTGTTAGAAATTTTATGAAGCGTAATTAGCATAATTAAGTCACTGTCGTTTCTGGACTGGTGTGTATGCCTGTGTGTATCTGTGTATGCCTGTGTGTGTCTGTGTATGCCTGTGTGTGTCTGTGTGTGTCTGTGTGTGTCTGTATATCTCTGTGTGTATATGTGTATGTCTGTGTGTGTCTGTGTGTATCTGTGTATGTCTGTGTATGTCTGTGTGTGTCTGTGTGTGTCTGTGTGTGTCTGTGTGTGTCTGTGTATGTCTGTGTGTGTCTGTGTGTGTCTGTGTGTGTCTGTGTGTGTCTGTGTTGGCGGCTGGGGGAGGGAGTTATAAATCTATGTATTTATTTATAGGGGCGACAGTTCTCTGATCCTTCATCTCTCTCTCTCTCTCTCTCTCTCTCTCTCTCTCTCTCTCTCTCTCTCTCTCTCTCTCTCTCTCTCTCTATCTATCTATCTATATATCTGTCTTCTCCAAAATTCTTGTGTTCTCAACAAGTTAAACACCCTTGTAGTTATTTCCTCTATTCAACTTTAAAAGAAATTCAATTTAAACAGCATAAGGTATTTTAATACCATACAATGGCCCCACCATACAATGGCCCCAAAGACTATTTAAAAATGTAAAGACAATACTTTTTGAAAGTGTTCTAAAAAGGGAAGTATTCTTGTCAAATGTGGTAAGTGCTCTTTTCAAGAGTGTTAAAGTGGTAAATGTTATGCAATATGTGTTAAGGTGGGAAGTATTCTTGTCAAATGTGCTAAGGTGGTAAGTGCTCTCATCAAGTGTGTTAAAGTGCTAAACGTTTTTGTCAAGTGTGCTAAAGTGCTAAACGTTTTTGTCAAGTGTGTTAAAGTGCTAAACGTTTTTGTCAAGTGTGTTAAAGTGCTAAACGTTTTTGTCAAGTGTGTTAAAGTGCTAAACGTTTTTGTCAGGTGTGTTAAGGTGGTAATTGCTCTATTATAACTTGGGCTAAGTTGTCAAAACCACCAACACACCAGCATATAATTCAACCACGGGACCACAACATCCTAACAAAGCGTTCATCAAATGACAAGCGCGCTAACTGATGTACTTTCCCGAACCATAAACCAAATAAGTTACCGTCCTTATCTCTCTCCGCATTCACTTCAAACCCCAAGCCACCCCCTCCCCCTTCCGCTTACCACCCCCACCCCCACGGCTTTCCGTCAAAAGTACGTTTTTTATCGTCCTGTGTGCGGCATGACATTGACATTTGGATGACATGTGTAATCTGGAACGGCCTGATTCCCTAGATAAGATTTCCAGGTCTTGACCTTTAATTGACCCAGAATTTTACTTATATTTTTCCATTAAAGAAGGCTTTAAAAAACAGCACGTCCCTGTATAGCTCTACAAAATTAGACACATTTAATTAAGATAATTAATTAAAGAAAGAACTATGAAAATGTGGGTTCTAGTAACGACTCCTAACTTGTACTCGTTATTTGCTTCGTGATCAGAGTTTCTTCCAGGCATCTCTACCGCCCCCCCCCCCACACGAACGAAATTAAATTTATATAATTTATATAGAAGAAAGTCTACCGCCCCCCCCCCCCCCCCCCGAAAATTTCAAGTGCCCCCCGGAGAAAAAAGTCTGGAAGAAATACTGTTCGTGATAAATAATAACGCTAATTTTAGAGTTAATTAGCATATATATCTAGTAATGTTTCACTTAATATGCTAAAAAGATATTCACTATAATAAATCAAAAGGTATTAAAATGATTTTTCTAAAAGTACTCTTGTGAACATTTCGGTCGATGGAGCCGGTGAAATAGAGTTGACCTAATTTAGTGACCTCTGCGTATAAATGGCATAAATTTTAGCATGCAATTAATTATGTAACTTGAACATATAAGTACAACGCGTCTGATAAAAAAAAATATTTTTATCCCGTCATATATTACAGCCATATATTGCTTGGCTCATGCGTATTTTGTTTCGTTTACATAATCCGGTAGCAGGTAAAATTCCAAGATTTTAATTTGCCTATTTTTCATATTTTTTTTAAACCGGTTGGAACTTGCTGTCGCAGCATTTACAAAAATAGACCCAATAAATCAACATGAGGTTGTGTTATGTAATATGTCACTTGTACAACTGTGTCAAACGATTCCGTACATATATCTCAGAGAACCATATAGAAAACATATACTGTTAGCAGTGTCCACCCCCCCCCCCTCCCCACCGAAAAATTTAATCTGCCCCTACCCCTAAAATATCAAGTTATAGTTTCAATTACGTAGTAAAATATTAATTCCTTTAAACCTGATGGGCCAGATTATATCTTAGTGTACCAGGGTTTCTTTCAGACATTATACTCCAAGGGTACTTAAAACCAGTGGCGTAGCGAGGTCGGGTGTCACCCGGTGCGGCACTTAATGGTGTCACCCCCCAGAGACTCTTCGACTCTTCCCGGGGACAGACTTTCAATTTTCGATTTGATTTGCACCCCCCCCCCCCTCAAACTTTCGATTTGCACCTCTTATAAAAGACTATTTAACATTATAAAAGACTATTTAACACTCGAATTAATCACTTAATTTAGTGGATTTATCATTTTTCTCTATATATTTTGCTATTTTTTGCCTTGGTTTCACACCCCTAAATGGTGTCACCCGGTGCGGTCCGCCCCCCCCCCCCCTCGCTACGCCTCTGCTGAAAACTTCTTGGAGTGGCGAGACCCTGGTCTTCCCTCTCCCCCCCCCCCCCCCCCCAATAAAACACTACGGCCTCGTGAAACGATAAAGCAGACAACACCATTCTTTTTTTAAAATAATGTTTTTTTAATCTTCATCGTGGCTAAATGTATTATTAAATATTAAGATTTTAAATTTAAAGCGCGACAACTCACCAGTTGTCTTTTTTAAGTACACTGGAGACATTATCTCCCTTTTTAAAATAACATACATAAAATGGTGGGGGACCTCGTTGTCTACACAGACGTTATTGCCGCGAGTGTAGCCAAAAGTAATTGTACAAACTACGGCTAATTTTGACGGCTCAGCATTCTACGGGAACAAATACTCCAACACAAGAAACATTAAAATTCTAAATACAAATGTCAAGTCGGTTTTGTATTATAAAGCAGAGACATGGAGACCAGCACAGGTAAGATAAAGACCTTCGTTAACAAATGTCTCCGAAAGATTCCCATGTGACAGAAGTAATTGCCAAACATAGACCTCTGGAGCAGGACACGTCAGGAGCCCGTGGCATCACAGATATGAAGGAAGACGTGGCAATGTATGAGGCACACATAGCGAAAGGGACACACAAATATGACTGGTCAGACGCTTGAGTGGAACCCACTGAGAAGTCAAAACATGGGGCGTAGAGAAACAGAGAGTAAAGAGGACTAAAGTAAACCATATTCGGTTAATAGAACTTTACACATTTCGATTGTGAAAGGATATGGGCAGTGTATTATGATAGGACATGGGCAATCTACTTGGGTAGGACATGGACAGTCTACTGTGGTAGGACATGGACAGTCTACTGTGGTAGGACATGGACAGTCTACTGTGGTAGGACATGGACAGTCTACTGTGGTAGGACATGGACATTCTACTGTGGTAGGACATGGACAATCTACTGTGGTGGGACATGGACATTCTATTGTAGTAGGACATGGACAGTCAACTGTAGTAGGACATGGACAGTCAACTGTAGTAGGACATGGTCATTCTATTGTGGTAGGACATGGACAGTCTACTGTGGTAGGACATGGACATTCTACTGTGGTAGGACATGGACAATCTACTGTGGTAGGACATGGACAATCTACTGTGGTAGGACAATGACAGTCTACTGTGGTAGGACATGGACAGTCTGCTGTTGTTAGACATGGTAGTCTTGCTTTAACGAAAATAGTTGATATAGTTTTAGGCTAGTTTTTGCTTGGTTGCAGTGGCGTAGCTAGGGGATGGCGGTTGGGGCATTTTTGCATCAGCTTGAATAACTGTATAATATAGGGAGGGAAGGGGGGTGTAAATACGATATTTTGCCCCAGGCTTCTGAATGTAATGCCATTCTCTAGACGAAATGATGTATTTTTGTTTGGCTGCTTACTTCAAGTTCAATATGTAGAAATATATATACATAAATGTATATATATATATATATATATATATATATATATATATATATATATATATATATATATATATATATATATATATATATGATTTCTCATATTTAGTCAGCATTGTCAATTATGATGATAACTGCACTACTGACTATAAAACACGCATAACTAAATCCAAGCGAGATTTTATTAAAACAAGTTAATAAAAAGTCTAGTGACAATTTAAGCGCAATTTCCTTAATTAATTTTTTGTGACCGAACGAAAGGATATTTTTGAAAACTTTCTTCGGCAATATTGTTCTAAATTATAGCAGGAATCGATTGGTAAATGTTTCAAGTCGCTAAGTGGTCTGGTTGCCGAGATATGGGCCAAAAACTCCATTTTTTCGAGGTTTTTTGGCTTTTCCGGGAAATCCATGAAAGAAACCCGGATTTTTTTTGGCCCACTATCATCCTGATAACTTGCTTAACATAATTGCTAGTCCTCGATATTGCTTCGTTGAGGAGGAGATACGACTTAAAGCTGCGGACACACATCCATCCATCCATCCATCCATCCATCCATCCATCCGTCCATCCGTCCATCCGTCCATCCGTCCATCCGTCCATCCGTCCATCCATCCATCCATCCATCCATCCATCCATCCATCCATCCATCCATCCATCCATCCATCCATCCATCCATCCATCCATCCATCCATCCATCCATCCATCCATCCATCCATCCATCCATCCATCCATCCATCCATCCATCCATCCATCCATCCATCCATCC